AACTGAAAAAGTTATGTGAGACTTTCTAATATTAGAAAGATACATTAGTGCACCAATTGCACTAAGATATGATACTTCAGGACCAAGAAACTCTTAATTCTTTTCTTAAGGTCGGAACGGGTCCTTATTCACATCAAGTGATCAAACAACCATCAGAGTACTTAATGGATGTGCTCCATCCATGTAAAACCGTTTCAATACCTTTTTTATGTAGGCAAATTGATGAACAAAAATCCCGTTTGTCAAATGTTCAATTTGCAAACCGAGACATAATTTTGTCTTTCCGAGATCTTTCATCTCGAATTCCTTCCTTAAATAATCAATTACCTTTTGGAGTTCTCTAGGAATTCCAATAAGGTTTATGTCATCAACATATACGGCAAGTACAACAAACTCCGATATTGTTTTCTTTATAAAAACACATGGACAAATGACATCAATTATATAACCTTCCTTTAATAAATATTCACTAAGGTGGTTATACAACATTCTTCCTGATTTCTTTAGACCATACAAAGATTTTTGCAATTTGATTGAAAATATTTTCCTGGACTTTGAATTATGTGCGTCAAGCATTTTAAATCTCTCGGAAATTTTCATGTATATCTCATTATCAAGTGAGCCGTAAAAGTAGGGTGTAACCACATCCATTAAATTCATGTCAAGCTTTTCATGGACATCAAGACTAATGAGATAATGGAACGTTATAACATCCATAACAAGAGAATACGTCTCTTCATAATCGACACCAGGCCTTTATGAAAATCCTTGTGCAACAAGGCGTGCCTTATATCTTTGTACCTCATTTTTCTCATTCCTTTTACGTACAAAGACTCATTTATAGCCAACAGGGTTAACACCATTAGGTGTTTGGACTACATACCTAAAAACTTCACGTTTCGCAAGTGAATCCAACTGAGATTGGATTGCTTCTTGCCATTTTGGCCAATCACGTCTTTGTCGACATTCTCCAATGGATTTAGGTTTAAGATCCTCATTATCTTGCATAATGCTAGATGCAACATTATATGCAAAGACATAATCAACAACTATATTCAATCGATTCAAATTTATCTCAATATCGATTGGGTTTATTGATAGTTCCTTATTTTCTTGAGTCTCAGGCTCATTGATTTCCTCGTGAATTTCAGGATTGGTTAAATCATGGGTTTCTTTATGAGACTCATTCATAGTGTCATCTTGATCATTTATTTTTCTTTTTCTAGGATTTCGATCCTTAGAACCCAATGGTTTGCCACACTTTAGGCGTGCTTTTGACTTATTAGCTATGATACTAGAAGATTGTCAAACAGGGACATCAATACGGATTGGAACATTCTCTGCAGGGATATGTGATTTCGTTATCTTTTTCAGATCCGTAAATGCATCTGGCATTTAATTTGCTATTTTATGCAAATGAATAGTCTTTTGCACTTTTTCCCACAAATAAAGGCACGTGGATCAAGATGAGATAATGATGTATTTTTTCACAAAAATTCACGTTTGGTTTCACCAATTTCTCCCCCTAATTTTAGAAAAAATGTCTCATCGAATCGACAATCTGTAAATCGAGCAGTGAACAAATTTCCCGTTAATGTTTCAAGGTAGCGAATAATGGAGGGCGATTCAAACCCAAGATATATTCCTAACCTTCTTTGGAGACCCATTTTGGTGCGATATAGCGGTGCTACATGCACATATACAGCGCATCCAAAAATTCTTAGATGGGATATATTAGGTTCATGACCCAACTAATTTCAACGGGGAATATTTATGATAATTTGTCAGTCTGAGACGAATTAGCACTGTTGCATGCAAAATGGCATGACCCCAAACAGAGGTGGGTAATTTCGTTTTCATGAGTAACAGTCTTGCTATCAATTGCAGACGTTTAATCAAAGACTCTGCAAGGCCATTTTGAGTGTGAACATGAGCTACAGGATGTTCTACTTTTATCCCAATTGATAAGAAATAATCATTAAATGTTTGGGATGAAAACTCAACAACATTATCAAGTCGAATAGACTTAATTGAATTATCGGAAAACTCTGCCCGTAATCAAATTATTTGTGCCATTAATTTTGCAAACGCCGGGTTGCGAGATGACAATAGGCATACATGAGACCATCTAGAAGATGCGTCTATCAAGACCATAAAATACATAAACTACCCACTAGGTGGGTGAATAGGTCCACAAATATCCCCTTGTATATGTTCCAAAAACGCAGGGGACTCAATCCCAACCTTTGTTGGTGATGGTCTAATAATTAACTTGCCTTGATAACAAGAAGTGCAAGAAAATTCATTATTTAAAAGAATCTTTAAATTCTTTAATGGATGCCCATTTGAGTTTTCTAAAATTTGTCTCATCATAATTGATCCAGAGTGTCCCAATCGATCATGCCAAAGTACAAAAGTATTGGAATCAGTAACCTTTTGGTTCACGATAGAATGTGCCTCAATTGCACTAATTCTTGTCCAATACAGGCCACAAGATAAAGATGGGAACTTCTCAATAACCCTTTTCTGGCGAGAGACATTCTTGATAACGATGAGATATTCGATATTATTCTCATCTATTGTCTAAATATGAAATCCATTTAGAGAGATATCTTTAAAGCTCAACAAGTTCCTCTTGGACTTGGAGGAGAACATTGCATTCTCTATGATAAGTATTGTTCCATTAGGCAGAGTAATAGAGCCTTTAATTAGATTACTACTACCAGAAATTGTAGTAGCATCTGCCTTACACATACCTAAATGAGAAAAATATTTCTTCTCTTTGAATATTGTATATGTCGTGCATGAATCAATTAGGCAAATATTTTTACAATTGAAATTTGAAGTTTGCTTTGAGAGATATCCATACTTGCTTCCCATGGTTTGACATACAAAAAGAAGTATATGAATAAATATTAGTATTTTCAGAGAAAAAGAAAAAAATAATAAAGTTAAACCAATGATTCAATAGTGGCCTTTAGTGGATTGCCAACAAAAAAAAACCTTAAACCCTAAACCTTAAACCCAAAAATAAAAAATAAAAAATAAAAAAAACCTAAACCCAATATGTGTTTGCTATTAGATGCAACACTAATATAGTTTTTGTCCCCCCTACTTGTAATCTTCCTTTGTGATTTTTCTTTTTACTATTAGTAAATTAGCTTCGGCGGACCGCCTATTAGTATAATTTGCTTTAAAAATAAAAATAAAAACCCTAAA